ATTGCAAGTTCACTAAATCTTCAACTACCTGATTGGGTAGAATCGATTCAAAAGGGAAAACTCTTGCGTGTAAATCAACTGCAGAAATTTGAAAGATACGCACAAGAGGCAAGAATTCAGCCAAAGTCACTTGTAACGAGGCAAATTGTTCAGGAGTCCATTCGGACGAAAAATTTAAAGAATTTATATTAAATGTATGAGCAATTCCCCATTCGATTACACGTTGCCAAATATTAATTTCTTTGACGGTTAAGTCATCACGCTGTAACAGCGAAAGTAATGTTTGTCTATCTAACAACACAAAATCTTTCGCCATAAACACAGTTTCGGGGTAATTGCTAATAACCTGTTCGCAAAATATTTGTAGTCGTTTAAATGCCTCGTGTTGGTATGCGATCCGCCTTGTCTGCGCAAAATTTTGAAGCAGTAAAAGTGATTTCTTTTGGATAAGATAGAGTTGTAGTTCTTCGCATAGCGCTTGTAAACCCAAGTCATGACCAGCGACAAGGAGATCGAGAATATATTCGATGTGGTCCGAATTTAACGTTAGTTTATTATGATACATATATCTAAAAAAAAAAAAGAAGAAACATATCGTTAATTATCAATAATCAAAAGAACGCGACGTAAAATTGATGAATTAAAAGCTCATTACTTTTTTAAAAAGATATTTACTTTAAAAGTATTTCCATAATGTTTGGTGCAATAAATGGGATCTTAATCAATGGATTCGGCATATTCGACAACGTCGCTAATTCTGCTTGAAGGTATGGCGAGCGAGCACATAGAACAACAGAATGTGCACGAAAAATTTTTATGTGTGGTGGTTGCCCCGCTTCAATTTTAACATCTAAAGCTGTTGATAAAGTTCTTGGAGGCATTTTACAACAAATTGAAGAGTTGCTATTTATTCGTTGTTATTATGATGTTGATCTGTTGCTGTCGAAAAAAAATTCGATTGCTTTGAGAGTTGTATTTATTGTTTTTCTACAAACTTGGCATTTCCACGTTTTCGTAGAAAATATACTTTTGCGTTTTAAAATATCATATACATGTACTTTATACAAATATATAAGAGATGATCGTACTTTACCACAAATGGAAGTGTTATCAATTTTCAAACTAACCAATTTTTGGGACTAAATGTTTACTTTTAAAATTATACAGACGTAGAAAATCTTTAGGTAGTACAATCGTCGCACATGACGCCATTTGATCTTTCATAAAATGACACATCATTGCATTATCGGTAAATTAATTTCTCCTTTTTACCCAACTGATCTTCATCACACTTTCTATTCATTAAAAGTGGCTTGTTGATACATACATACACAAACAAATACAGCAAGGATTTACTAATAAAATATTCCGTGCTTTCGGGTCGAAAATAAGCTCGATGGATTTTTTTACCATTATATACATTGATCGCCGATGAAAGGGTTTTCGCTATCTGAATGTGATCGATTGAACAAATCAGTCAGCCCAAATAATATACATTTTATACTCGCATGTCCAATTTCGATTCATGGCATCCTTTTTTTTTGGTAGTCTGTAATTGCAACTCAGTGGATTCATTCGTTAGATTTTTCATCTCACATTTGATTGTTTTTACAAGAACGGTAATGAAAATAAAAACGCTAAATTTTTTAACTCCAACAAATCAAAGCCACACACAACTAAAACTATTTCTCCAAAAATTTCTCAAAGAATTTCTCAAATCTTTATCGAATTGGTCAAAGTTTAAAAATAATAAATCTTCGAATGTTTTTTTTCGAGAACAATTGTTTTCAATTAATTTTCTAGAAGATACATTTTATTTTTAACAACAGGCCGGCCGGTTCAATACGTTACTAGAAATTCCCATATATATCGAGCATAATTAAAGTTAACATGTATTGTAGTAAACGGATTGATTCGAAGATTGCCTAATTTAGAATCCCACTTCTGCAGTTCATTGTTTGACAATTGTTTGTTTGTTATATAATGATAATTTAGATGAACTGCTACTCATTTAAACTGAATTCAAAACCTTAACTTTCAGATTTAGTAGTCTTTCAAAACGCATGGAATAGAATAGAATTACAAATTAACCGCCCTCACGAGATGCAAGATTGCCACGTTTAGCGTTGATAATAAGACTAGAGATTTAGATCTTGTTGAATTTTTACGCCATTTCAAATCACCCACAAAAAGTACTATGAGATATTTTTAAGGATAAAATTCTTTTAAGGAAAGAAGATAGCATTCTTGCAATATTGTTGCTTATAATGAAAAATAAAAATAGAATAAAGTTTGATCTTTTCTTCTAGAATTTCGACAAAGACCAAGAAATGATCGACAAATAATGCATAAAACCAAATTTGAAACATCGACTTTGTCGATCAAATTTGTGAGGTGTCGGAATTGTTTTCCGGATACCTCTCTTGGCTGTGCCAACATTAAAATCTAGTGGATAAAAAGCATGTTATTGTTGTTCGTTTAATACCATCCGCTTCCATTGTTTTTCTTTTAATGTAGTGCGACTTTAATTAATTTCGGCGATAGTGACAAAAACCAAGAAATGAAATTTTTGTTTTTAGATTCACCGGACTACCCGATCTTTTGTTGTTATTATGTAAAAATCGATGAAAGAGAACAAACGGATTTAGAGTTATTTCGGTTATGGAAATTCAAAGGATAAAAGTTTATAAAATGACAAAATGTTCTTGGTTACTTTAAGAAATAGTTTATTATTAGATACAGTTCCAAAAACCCCTAGGGAGTACAAGTCAAAACCTAATGGGGGAAGTTTACCTTTTGCAGACAGGGAAATTCGGAGAGAATAAACTACATGTAAATAACGATACGTTAACGAAAAATTTACCGAGTAAAACATTTATGATCTCGGTACGAAATTTAGGCGAGGCGAAGTAACCATTATGCATGTGTGTATCACCAAATTTAAAGATTTTGCACAACAATTCGTACTTCCATAAAATGTTACAGAGATTTTCTTGACACATCTATGGGATTTTTCTTTACTTTCGGGGAAGTGATTTGTTCAGAAAAATTTTCCATTACGTAAAAATGTAACGGTATTAAATATACATTTACACTACTTGATTAGTTCAAGTCCTAAACATCATATATCATCTTTTGTCAGAGTATATTTAAAATTTAAAAAAATTTTGCAAGATATTTTCATTTTCCAAATTTATCGTTGAATAAAAACTTTGTGAATCAATCATTTTTTGTTTTCTCATTTGTAGCCACAAAGAACTTGCCACAAATCTAATGGTGATATGCATGACTTTCTAGCCACAATAGAACTTGCCACAAATTGAAAATGTGGCATGAGTTTTGGCGCCTTGTAGCGCCCACCTCTAAATGGGGCTTTATTTTGTGGCTGGTGGGCAAATCTATATTCAAATGTGCGAATACAACATTTCCATATGGGAAATATGTGGCTAGTAGTTACCGAAATTTAAGCACCTCCTTTTTATGCTTAATTCGGATACTTTAAAATAATTTAGTTCGGTGACGTTCAAAATCCCGACAAACACAATCTCGAATGAATGACATCCCGAAAGAACGAAATCTCGTGATATTCCATGCATTTGGTATGCTATACTTTCGGGATTTCATTCTTTCGGGATGCTCATTCGAACGGCCGAACCAGACCCATCTAATTAAATTATTAAAGTGCAAATTTTAAAATTGATAGTTTATTTTTGGAGTGCAATCACAGCGCAATCACGCGTATAGAAAATTTAACTTATCGTTATCCATGTTACCGTTAATGCATATCATTATAGTTTATTGTGAAAATTTATTGTTATAATTTATAGTTATAGGCCATTGCAAAAAAGATTGATACACCAATATAAAAATTAATAATTACTTCTAATAAAAATCATTCAAATTTTAACTAATTTTTATATTAACTAAAGAATAATCTAAATTAACTATTTATATAATTTTACTTATTAATAAATATAGTATTACTTTTCTAACTAAAATTATTTTTTTTAAAAAAAAGATATTTTAAATATTATTACAATTAATTTATAAAATTAGAAATTATGCAAGCAAATTATTTTAAATTTGATAAATACAGTACCGGTCAAAAGTAATGGCGTGAATGTTTTTTTCCTATATTTTAACAATAAAACATCCAAAACTCACGAAAATTTGTAGATATATTCTTTAGAATATT